CACATATATAAACCCCATCGGGGTCCCCCCCCCCCCGACCGGCCGGCCCCCTCAATCTCTATTTTTTGGTCGCTTGACATAGCCTTCTATTTTTTATTTATTTATTTTAAAACACAAATATATATATTTAATTGAAACACTCTTGACCTTCATATTTAGCCTCTCGTAAAAAATGTTGCGAGAACCTTTTTTTTACAAAACAAAACAAAAAATAATTATATACGTGGCCATCTTGTGATGGCTCACAGTCTCACTGGCTCAGCACCCTAATCTACCATTTTTTTATACTCCAAGAACAAAACATCGGAAGATGAATTACTGAATTAGCAAGTACAACAGCACGATATACATGGCTATTGACACCACATCCAATTGCAATACGGAAAAAGATAGATACGGTTTATTAAAGACGATCCTGTATTGGATCGATATACATAGTGTTCTTCGTTCGACGTTCAGTAGCTACATGTGTTTCCGGCTTCCGCAGAAGCCCCAACGGTAGTGATGAATGTTTAGTTCAATTAATCGATTATTATTGGATTATGTTTCCACCAAAAACTGTAAAAAAAAGTTGTCATTAAAACCCATAACCAATCGTAGCCAATTTATATTTATTCATAGTCATTCGTAGCAACCCTGTGAGTAGTCATTCGTAGCCACCCTGTCAGTAGTCATTCGTAGCCACCCTGTCAGTAGTCATTCGTAGCCACCCTGTGAGTAGTCATTCGTAGCCACCCTGTGAGTAGTCATTCGTAGCCACCCTGTGAGTAGTCATTCGTAGCCACCCTGTGAGTAGTCATTCGTAGCCATCACGTATGTAGCCGTCATTATTTATATTTTATAGGCTACATATGTATGTCCTCTATTTATTTTCAATATATTTATTTAGACTGTGGATGTCGGACGACCAAGCATACAGTATTTGGATAAAAACTGAATATGTCGAGTTAGCACAAGCCGCTTCTATCACAAGGAGCGCAGTTGCGTAGAGAAAGTCCACGTTGATGGTTGATTCTTGTCGTAGCCCTCTAAATTAATTAACAAGAAGACTATGTCCTCTTGTATTTACATAGACATCGTCGATAGACCAAACGTACAGTATTTGGATAAATACTGTGTATGTCGAGTGAACACTAGCCGCTTCTACCACGAGGAGCTCAGTTGCGTACGAAATTGACCACTTTGACACATGCTCTTGCTGTTACTGGGGTAGGTGTCAAGAATTGCGCACACCCTTTCTTTTCCAATTCACTTATTGCCCTAGTTCAACCCATTCTATCATATTATCGGTTTGTCAAATGATAGCTCGCACAGAATCTTTTCAGGATGATTTCGCTCTATAAAATAAGAATCAGACCAATTTTGCTACTTTTCATACGAGATATTTTGTGCCTCAATCAAGCTAGTCGGTATATATTAATCATAGCATGGAATTCGACATCAGAAAGGTCACGTTAATCCTCGCGGTTGTCGTGACGGTGGCCAATCTAATCAAGCAGGCATGGACAATAGTAGACAGCTCCCGCTGAGAACGAGTATAGGAATGAGTATAATAGTAGGACTCGAAATTTAAAAAATATATCACACTTTATGGTTTATTTACCTCTATATTTTTATTTTGAGGTTGTAATATGTGCTGGTACACCAGTGGATGCCGAAAACAACAGCTGCCGGCTACAATCCGAAGCCGTGCCGAAACTTCTACCGTGAAGGATTTCTGTCTGTCTGTCTGAAACACTACTTGTAGGGTATGTTTATGGACTGCAACTAAGCAAATCTAGCGCTGAAGATTTCTCCCCGCCCACTCGCAAGTGCGTTCAGAATTGAAGCACTTAGTGCGATAAAAAAAATCGAAATATACTATATTTAAGTAAATCGACTACGTGTGGATGCCTAACGATTCATCCTTGGAATTACTGCAGTTTTCTGAACACTCAAATGGACTATGTACAAGCGCCTATCTATCATCTTCTGCATAACGGCTCGAAATGCCCAACGCACCGCTCAATTCAGTGTCACGCCAAATTCGCGAACTCTGCGAGCGTATGTGAGATCGAAATAACAGCTTATCTCAATTCTATAAGCTTAGCCTATGTCTGTTGGATAATCGGCAATTATTGGTTTGTGCAAGGCCTATGTTTACGACGCTGTATAGATGACGCACATTCGTCATTCAGTCAACGTTCGACTTGCAATAATCGAGATCCACTTTGCTGCATACTAAATTCTTCATCACCACATTATATCATGGCATCTGCACGTTTGCTTGCGTAGCTAACGACCCATCGTCTCTGTTGCACTCCTTGATCGGCATGGTCTCTCCTTCTAGAACTATTTTCTCTAAATCGTTGAAGGCAGCTCGGTACTCATCGCACAACAGCTGTGACTTGTCGCTTGCACCGGCATCCAGGATACATCCAACACTTAATTTTCCTCCAATAGAGACGAGTGTTACCCCAAAAGAGCTCGTACCCACTTGTGGGGCCCAGAACCCCAATGACTCGATTTGCTTGTCACCCATAAACATAATCTCTGTCGGCCCAGGTACTGCATTGAGAAAGTAATTGATCTAAAGTCAGCGGCAGCCTGCAGCCTGCAAACGTATGCTATACTAGGCTTATAATAATAAAAATAGGATAGTAGATCGTATTCACACTAGAGTACAACATTACATCTCCGGGGAGGAGGACATACCATTGCTGACTACAGCAGTTGTCTTGTTGGTCATGAACTCGATTATCATCCGCACTAGATGGGCTGGGAAGAGCCTCATCATAGTCAACATGCACAGAAAGTTCACGTACACGATCGGGTGTCTCTTATAATAGTCAAGCGTGAGCTTAATCTTCTCACACGCTACGAACGGGTCCGCAGAATCCGTAGGCACAGGGAGTACAATAGCTGCATTGAGATTATTGAACACGCTACGCTCCGTGCCCGCTCGCATGTTGACGGGAATAGCCGCTAAGAAGGAGTCGGCCCCTAGATGAGATAATTGGACAAAAAACAATGATTCACTGAATGAAAAATCGGGACAATACGATGCTTCTAAACTAGAGTATATTTGACTTTGATCAAACAATAACATAACAGATAAACATCCAGCAGTATCGCTGATTTAGACTGTGAGGCACAAGATAGAGTATGAGGCCATACTGACTTCGAAATTAATCATGGAGCATCAATGGCAGCCTATTTTTACACGGATGTCAATAAACAAACTATAACCGGTCCACGAACGAAGCGAGGCTAATCATGCCCTCTGTGATGAAACACGGCTGCTAACCTTCAACCCCGTCAAGCTTGGCCCACACACGATGACAGGCAGCCCCAAGTACCCCCATGAGGACATCGTTTATGGACATGCCTAATCGATTCTTAACGGCCTTGATTTTCTTGATGTCGATTGTGTCGTGAAGCATGCCTACTACTTTCTTCCCCTCGACGTGTTGCGTTTTGAACGGATTCACGTCTGACCGGGAGATGGCATGCCCGAGCAACACGGGGAGTGCATACATAGCAGCATACAACGCTAATAGCCACGGACGGGGATGTATCTTATTCACCAACGGAGACATGTGGCCTCGAGGCGGCACAGGCCGATTACTCTTAATCGCTTCCAGCTCCGATTGAGTGGTCATCATGCTATTTAACATCGACATCAGACTCACACCATCGGCCAGCACGTGATGGACCCTAAGCACCACACAGGAGATGAAGTCACCTGAGCCATCGTCACACTTTCGAAAGTTCTCTAACACTGTGATCTTCCACAAAGGTCGATCAATGGGCAAATCCTCACCAATTTCTCTGCCAATCCATTTCATCAACTGGGTGTCGTCCTTGGGCATGCGTTTATCGTCTGAGTCATAATTGACCTTGCTCATATGCCACTCAGGCACAAAACTATCATCTACAACCCAGAAAGGAACACCTTTGTACACGATGACTCGCTTAGTCAATCTGTCATACCAGGGGTCATTTAAAATACGGCGTGTGCACTCCACCACATCTTCTAATTTGCCATTCCGTACTAACATGGTGCCGTTTATAATACATTTGTTCTGCTTAGTGTCTAATATTGGCAAATAGTCTCGTGGCCCCACCTGCTCGCAGGGGCCAAACCTTTGTTGTGCCTCATGGATGATATTGTTTATTCTGCTGAATCTGTAGTAGACGAATGCAATCGTTGCTACGACGCAGGCGATGGTAGTGAAGCCCAGAACATAGCAGACACCTGTTGCTATGGCCGCAAACAAGTATATTAGAAAGGTTATTTCTCCTTGCATTTTGCTGCACATGAAGCTTTGATTATTATTGCAATATATTTAGTAGAATTAAAAGAACAACGGAGGTGTGCTTGGTAAGAGGAAGTTCGCATTCGAGTTCACCATTTCACACTGTGCAATGTTCACTGATTTCATCTATTATTTTTCTTTTCTTTTCATATCAGTTGACTTTTTTTTTAACAAAAACTAGATTATTTACAGTTTTACACCGGGGGCGTGTGGCGGGCGTGTGCGCTGTTCGCACCATAAGTATATTTACTCTATATATATAT